TCTTCAGACACACCAGAAGAGGGCCTTGACTCCCATTACAGATGGTTGTGAGCCACCATGTGATTGTGAAAATTCAACTCAAGGCCTCTAGAAGAACAGTCAGTCAGTGCTCTTAATTTCTGAGCCATTTCTCCAGCCCCTGTTAATATCTTTGACAGTCACCAAAACAGAACTATTAACTCTTTTCATTGTTTCAGAAGATAAAATACAAAGTTATATTTAAATTTGGTTTGCTTTGGAAAACAAGAACGTCTAGTTTCTCTCTATTCAGATTGTTAATTATTTTGTTGACTTTTAAATTTTACTGGTCTGATATTTGTGGGGAAATTATTGACAGATTTAAAAGTTGTATAATAATAATCATCAAATTGATACACAAATCCTCCTTTTAAGTGATGTCTTAATGTTAAAATACAAATCTACTTTCCAGAATGTAACTGTAAAAGTATTTTATGCAAGGTTTCATATGGGATACTGTAATGGTTGAATAATAAATTTTACCTCATAAAAATGAAATTCAATAATACAGTAGCTTTCTCAGCTCAGTAGCGTCTGGTCTATTCTCTCGAGAGCCAATATTTTCCAACTCATTAGGATCATGTCATTCTGTATGTCGTCAACATTGACTTAGCCCGGCTACCTTTACTTACACAACCGCCAAACTATTAAATAGGTCTCTTGTGGAGTGAAGTCAAATATTCCTCTTACTTTACTTCTGTCTTAGAAGAGAGGAAGAAAATATACATACTGTAACATTTAAACATCTGGTTCAAAACCACATCAGTGTAACTCTGAGCAAATTTACAGATTTGGTATTCTTCCCAGGTGTGCATATAAAAAGGATTTTGGAGTTATTGAATGCTCTTTAAGCACTTAGAAAGTGAGGGAGGGATAGTGAGGTTTCTTTCTTTCATTTTTTTCCCTGTTTCTCTCTTTTTAAATTTCTTTCTCTGTCCCCCAATCTGAAAACACAGCTTAAATGTTTTAAGGTACATATTTCTGAGTTACTTAAAAAAATATCTTGTTGTATAGTGATATTGGCTATGGACATTTCTTATGTAATAATAACAACAACAATGAATCGAGTTGTATTTATTTAATCGAGTTGTATTTATTTATGTGCCAGTGAAAAGACGAGGGCTTCTTTCTTCCCCCTCCTTCATCTTTGTTGCCTTTTTGACGGGTCTTTTGTGATATCCCCGGGTGGGTCCCTAACTGTTATGCCTTTTCTCACCTCTGGAGTGCTTTATGGTATAGGCACTAGTTATCACGCTCCACTAAAACGTCTCCATATTTAAATCTAAGCACAAAGAGATTACCTTTTGCAAATTTTCCAGTATTTATTTATTTCGTGTGTTTCCACATGTTGTGATTATATAGTCTACATATATGGACTGTATACGTGTGAGCATAAGGGTACCCATGCATTCATAGCCTATAAAGGCCCTTGAAGTGTCTTTCTCTGTCATTCGTCACCTTATTGACTTGAAACAGGGTGTCTCAGTGAACTATAAACTTGCAGCTTTGACTAAACTGGCTGTCCAGTGAGTCTCAGAATCTGTTTCTCTCTATACTCCAGTTGTAGAATTAGAAGCTCAAGAACTAGTTGTGGATATTAATAAGTTATATTGTAACTTTTCTACTGTATTTTCTTTTGGACATTTGATATGTTTCTAAAGTGTTTTTTCAGATACCTCTCAGCCCAAGAATGGCTCTGTGTGTATGTCTGTGTGTGTGTGCCTGTGTGTATGTGCGCACATGTACGCATGCTCTTCATCATGAAAAAGGACTGGATGAATGCTAGAAATGTTTCAAATAGTAGAAAATATACCCTATATAAAAATCTTAGTTTTCTGTTAAGAGTTGAGAAAAACTCCGTTCTCTAAGTATTTCACTTTGTTTTTGGAAGGTACAAAGTTTTTGTCTTTATTATGATTTTTTATTATTGTAGAAAGTCTTTTATAAACATCAAGAATATATCTGGATGTTGGCAATGATGCGGCTACATAGGAATGTGTTAAATTTGTTAAGAAAACACTTTTTTTTTTTTTTTTGCCTATGAGGCTGAACCTGTCTTTATTGAGTATTTGCTTATTTCCTTCAACTGTATTTGTCACCTAATAAACTTGAAAATATGTACCCTGTCAGATTCTTAGTTCTATGGACAGTTAACCATAAAGAGACATGGTTATAGTATGTATTATTTCAGCTATTGCAGTATCAAATGGGTCTAAAGATACACACAGGGGGAAAGAGACTGTTCATACTATTTTGCACCTTAAGACTATGATAGAGCTTCTGATAACAGCTTGCAAACTAGACAGCTTCAAATAGCAGTAGTTTATCATCTTATCATCTTGGAGATCAAGTGTTTGAGGTCAAGGTATTGGTAGACTATTGATTTCACCAAAGAGAATCTTTATCTTACCCCTTGGTGCCTGTCAAGCTTTTTTTCCTTGGTTTGCAGCTCCCTCTCTAGTTCTTTCGCTGTACTCACTTGGTAATCCCTTTCTCTCTTCCCCTCCTCCTTCCC